ACATTCTACAATGGGTTAGGCACAGTGGCTCATGCTTATAATCGCAGCACGTTGGGAGGTTGGGGTGGGAGGATCACTTGAGGCCAGAAGTTTAAGATAAGCCTGGGCAACATAGTATGACCATGTGTCTATTTAAAAAAATAAAAACTAAAAAAATATTAGCCTGGCATGGTGGTGCATGCTTACAGTCCCAGCTCCTTGGGAGGTTGAGGTGAGAGGATAACTTAAGCCTAGCAGTTTGAGGCTGCAGTGAGCCATGATTGTACCACTGCACTCGAGACTGGGTGACAGAGTAAGACCTTGTCTCTGTGAAAAAAAACCCCAAAAAGCCAAAACTACAATGACAAGGACAGTCCTCCCCACTGCCACCATGACAAAGAATTATCTGGCCCCAAATGCCAATAGTGTTAAGGTTGAGAAAGCCTGCCCTAGGGTCAGCCTGCCTGGGGTTCAAATTACTTATAATCTGTGTAGCCATTGGTAAATTATTTTACAAGTTTGTGTTTACTGAGTGTCTTCAACAATTAAATTAGAATAAATAATAACAAGAATACTCACTTTATTGATTTTTAAATGATAATTAAATTACACAAGGTGCTAAGGACAATGTCTGGAACAAAACAAGTGCTCAACAAACATTTGCTTTTGCTATCATTATATGCACTGAAAAAAACTGAGAAGAAATACACCAAAATTTTAACAGTGATTGTTTCCAGGGGCAAGATCATACTGATTTTTATTTTCATTATTCTTTTATACCACTTAATACTTTCCAAATTTTCTAGAATGATATTTGTATTGATCTGATATCCTAAAATGTTTTAAAAGAATGCAGAGAAAAGAAATTTACTTGTGATATAGTAAAAAGAGCACAGAATGGAAAGACTTGGATTCAGATCCTGACTCTACTTGCTGTCTGTGGACATTGAGCAGGTAAGTTAACCTCTTTGAGCTTCAGCCAAAACTGGGGCTAATAATGCATATCATAGAGAGTTGCTATGAGAATTAAACATGACAGACTTGCAGTGTCTGGGAGAGTATACTGAATAAAAGGCCCCAGGAGATAACTGCTTTAAAGGGTTTGGCCAAGGGAAAATGACTCTACATTCATGATGGTATATTCATGATGGTAACTCCCCTTTTGCCTTTTATTTTTTGTTTTTTGAGATACAGTCTCACTTTGTCACCCAGGCTGGAGTGCAGTGGAGTGATCACAGCTCACTATACCCTAAACCTTCCAGGCCCATGCGATCTTCCCACCTCCACCTCCTGAGTAGCTGTGACCACAGGCGCGTGCCACCATATCCAGCTGTTTTTGTAGATCTCTCTATTTTGTTTTGGTTTTTTTTTGTTTTTTTTTTTTTGAGACAGAGTTTTGCTCTGCCATCCAGGCTGGAGTGCAGTGGCGCAATCTCAGCTTACTGCAAGGTCCGCCTCCCAGGTTCAAGTGATTCTCCTGCCTCAGCCTCCTGAGTAGCTGAGATTATAGACACCTGCCACCATGCCTGGCTAATTTTTGTATTTTTAGTAGAGATGGGGTTTCACCATTTTGGCCAGGCTGGCCTAGAACTCCTGACCTCAATTTATCCGCCCACCTTGGCCTCCCAAAGTGCTGGGATTACAGGCATGAGGCACCGTGCCTGGCCTAAGGTCTCCCTCTGTTTAGGCTGGTCTCAAACTCCTAGGCTCAAGCAATCCTCCCGTCTTAGTCTCCCAAAGTGCTGGGATTACAGGCGTGAGTCATGGCACTCAGCCTCCCTTTTTTCTTTCTAAACCATCCTCTTAGAGAGCACAACTCCCATGTCATCCCATTTTTTACCTTGGCTGATAGAGACGAAACTGCATCCACACTTAGGTCCTTCTCTCTCTTCTCTCCCCTACTTACAAACACCCTAGGAAGGGATTTGATCATCCCCCTGGCAGGCCCTGACTCATTTGGCAGGGTTTACTTGCAGGCAAGCCGTTGTTTCTTAAAGGCAGGACCCAGGTATCACTTTTTCATATTCTTCACCCTAGCTCATTCTCCCTCTTCTTATTTCTGCTTTCACTCATCACCTCTAGGTTGAAATCATACTTGGCAAGGCCTCTCCTTAAGGGGAAGCCTCTCCACTTTCTCTCCCTCTGTTCTATCCTCCCATTTAGCTGGTTGAGTAGGTTGCCCCCTTTTAGATTCCAGAGGGCTGCGTAGGAAGCCCATCTAGGCTTCCAGATCCATGGCTCATGTGTGTGCTAGCCCTGCCTATCTGAGAAGCCCTGCATGTGTGGGGGGCATGGAGCACTTGCCAGCTGGTTAGTGCTTCCATCAGGGCTGTTGTTTCTTTTGTGCAGCTCGCTCAGCAGGTAATGCTTGAGGTGAGCAGCATATGCTGGTAGAATTCAAGGACCGGCACCTTATCCACAACCCCTTAATGATTCAATTAGATGGAAAAATCATAGGTTATGTTTGTGTATATTATCAGGAGGGTGACTATTTTAAGCCTCACTATCTTGAGAACTTGAATTTAAATCCTGACCAAGCTTTCAAAATGCCTCAGGACAAGCTTCTTCATTTGGTCCTAACTGCCATGGTTTGGGAAAGGCAGTCTGACCCTAACCCACACTGACACTCAAGATCCCAGAGTTCCCTGGGAAAGAGTCCTGCAGTCCTGTGAGCTTTCTATACAGAGTTCTAAGGACCGGCAGCCAGATTGAATTAGGAGAGAATAGCCTGGGGCAGGAGTTGACTTCTCAAGACATTCACTTTCAAACTGAGTTGAACTGTTTCAACACTGGGAGATGGGACCATGCAAAACATCAGAGGAAAATAAGACTGTTAGGGGTGCCCCCATCTAGATATGAATAAAAATATCAGAAGAACTCCATTCTAAATGCTAATAAAAATGTCAGGGGGATTGGTGATCTCCAGGAAATAATTTATGTGTACTTTCTAAACTCTAATTTGCTGCTGTTCTAGGGCCAGCCTAGCTATATAAACTTCAGGCATAATTTTGACTGTTGCCAAATTCTTACTACACATGTGTCTCCTGTCATCCCTAAAAACACACGCAAAATAAAACAGGCATGGACTCCCAAATTAGCACCAGCAGAATACTGTCATTATTTTGACTCTTCCCAGTCTTCATTCACCATATATTGAGAGCTCGACCATAAACAAGGCCTGGTGATGAAGGCTACAATCCAAAGAGGAAAGAATACTGTCCCTCAAGAAGCTCACTTCCTGTGACTATAATAGCATAAAAGTGTTACTTGTCCCAGGGAAATGTCGATTTCAGCAGGGATCAAAGGCTTAAGCTTAAAGACTAAAGTTAAATATTGTAGGGGACACAATTACTTTTTAAAGTACTGTGCAATAAAACCCTGAAGGGAACTAGTAACTTCTCTCAGTTTTTCCATAGCTTATAGGAGTCAGATCAGTCATCCTTTATTATCAAAGACCAGAAGGAAATCTACACAGATCAAAAAAGGAAATCTGTATCTCAGAGATTTCTAGTAGTTAACATTATTAGCAAAGCTCCTCTTTTGTCCTTAAAAACCTAAAATAATTTGCAAAAGAAATCTGTTCCCTTATTTTAAGGTACGATAACATCATTTTAAAACAATAAATCCAGTCAGTTTGATATTATAGTTTATATACATAATTTTAGAAGTTTTTAATCTATTTATTTTATTTTGAGAACTAGGTAGGTGCTTTTAAAGACAATATGCTTAGGCTGGTCTTACTAGGTTCTGAGGATGGAAGAGTGTTTCTAGGTTTGATTTTTTAAAACCCATGATATAATTCTAGATTTCATTTTTCTTTAGACATCAGTTGGTCACCATAGTAACATAGTGTTTTACTATAGAGATCTATACAGCGCAAGAGAAATAGAACAGCAATTACTTACTAAGTTACTTGGGGGTACAGAATGTGACTATAGGGATAATTTAAGATTAAATATAGATTTCTCTGGGGATCTCTTTTAGCAAAGCAAGCCAATTCAATCTTCTAGTAGCATCAGCTGAACAAAATTTGAAGCCAAACTGACATTGACATCATTTGAAATAATATGAGCAGGCAAGCAGCATAGCTCAGTGGTTAAGAGCATGGGCTTTGGGGTCAAGCTTCATAGGTCCAAGTTCTGCTTCTACTATTTGCTAGCTGTGTGACCTTTGGAAAGTTCCCTAACTTATCTGTGCCACTGTTTCTTCATCTTTTAAATGTGGGTAATAAAATCTTCCTCAAAGTGTTGTTATAAGGGTTCAATAACTGTTTGTGTTTAGAACAGTGCCTTGCACATAGCAAGAACTTTCTAAGTATCTGTTAAATAAATACAAAATAAAATTTAAATTTGCTAGCGCCTCTCTTTGTTCTGGAAATAGTCAAAGATGAAAATTTGAGTTCATGGCTGATGATTTTAGCCTGTAACTTTGGTAGATTCCTTTGAGAACTTCCCCAGGGCCTTGTTGCTAGCAATTCTACAAGATGTGAAATTCTGTGGCAGTCTACTGTCCTAAATCAGGGCTGGGAACAATCACGAGACTCCTGGTACCAGGAACATCAGAAGGAAGATGATCGCACAGCACAAAGGAACAGCACACCTGCCCACTTCGGCTCCCCAAGCCACTGCCAACAACCTCTAGGAACACGGGCATAGAATAAGCAGCTGAAAAGGGATGAAACAGGCTTTTATTGCGGTGATGATGAAACCTAGTTGGTTTCAGTAATTTTTTCCCCTCTTTCCAGGATTCAAGGGGGAAAAATCCTTTTCATCAATGAATGCTTTTTTTCATTAATTATCACTATACACAATTTCCATCCAATTTTTCAACAGGCACATACTCTGATGAATTATCATTTTACAGAACTCCCTAGGCATCTTTTCTGGACTGGTAACAAATCTAAAGCCTCTAACCAGTATCTAAGGCAGGACAAAAATCTCCAAATTGCCTGGAAAAAAAGAAGGTATTATGTCCTCTGAGCCAAATTTCAGTCGCAATACCAAGGGATCCCTATCACATACCTTCATCCGGACTTGATTTCAGAGACGTTCTCCTTAGATCTTCTTGGTCAGGAATAGTCCTTACATAGGAGTTTGGAGAATGCCATAAACCACCAGGAAAGCCTGGAAACACATTCATTTCTGTCCTCTGCCTTCCCCTTGGCTCACAGCCTGCTTCCTGTTAGGGAGACAAGATGACGCTGTGCAGGGTAGACTGTTAAACCATCTTCCCGCCCCCAGCCCCACTCTCTTGATGCCCCTCCCTTCTCCTTTCTAAGGCTCTGGAATGTGTCACATGGGAAATGGATCATGTGGCTAAAGGAGAGAATGTAGCCATCTTCTCTCTCCCTTCCCCCACTTTTCCTTTCGGAAGCAAAGCGGCAGAAATCTCTGCCCTGATTGGCTCCGGCCAAAAATCTCCATATGAAAAGGGGAAGAGTCAATCACCCAAAGCCCCTGCCTTCTCCACTTTCTCTTTTTTCCAGCTGAAGATTTTTATCCTGAGCATTCAGAGTTGCTCCGTATGGGAGATAAATGATGCTTTCTCCTCAACCCCTCTCTTTCTTTCAGTCAGTACCCTGACCTGGCAAGGTGTTCCTTAACCTCCCTCTGGATCCCCCTTAGCACACATCTGGGACAACAGAGTGTTCAGCACCACGGACAGCATATTACAACCCCTTCAGTGCTTGTTAAAGCCATTGTCTAATTCACTCTCAAGTAAATACAAATATTTTTAAAAATTTCCCTGAGGTCCTGTGCCTAAATATAAACCACACCATATGTTTAGGGCTCTGACTTCCCCTACTATCAGCTTACTGTTACCTTATAAACTCAAACATAATTTTTATATTTCCTTAAACCCAAAAGACCATCTCATACCTACCTCCCTGTCCCCATCCCATCACACGTCCTCACCCATTAAATATGATCTATGCTTTTTTTGTTCAGGGGAAGGGAGATTTCTATAATATAGTTTACAGTATGCCCAAATATCTATGCTTATGGGAAAACCCACAGAAACACATAGGAATTATTGGATGTACAAATATAGATGTCATTAGCTCCATCCCTAGGCCTCAGGCAGGACTGAAGTGGAGAGGGAGGGAGGGAGCCTGGTTGGAGCTGTTTTGTGCAGGGTCTATCCTGCTTTGCTGACGTCCTGGTTGCCATGGTGCTAGGTAACTGCTGAAGAGGATAATTTCTTTTAAAACCGGTCACCATGGGACCCTGCTGACTAAAGAAAGGCAGAGGGAAAAGGACTGAATTGCTGAGGAGGGATTTCAGCTAGTATTCTCAGAGCCAAATTAGATTGTTGCTGATCCTAAATCTTGAAAGGATTCTAGGAATTAGTGTGGACACTGCAACAGTTATTCTCTCCATCCTCCTCTGCTTTTTTTCCTTAAAAATCTAGTTAGGGGGCCAGGTACGGTGGCTCATGCCTGTAATCCCAGCACTTTGGGGGGCCGGGGTGGGTGGATCACAAGGTCAGGAGTTCAATACCAGCCTGGCCAAGATGGTGAAACCCCATCTCTACGAAAAATACAAAAATTAGCTGGGCCTATAATCCCAGCAACTAGGGAGGCCGAGGCAGAGAACTGCTTGAACCCAGGAGGTGGAGGTTGCAGTGAGCTCAGATCGCACCACTGCACTCCACCCTGGGTGACAGAGTGAGACTCTATCTCAAA